GGCTGAGGCTGGGTATTGTTTGAAGGCACATGCTACATGGTGGTTTTATTTTTCTCTTGCCTCCCCTACTTCTTTGCCAAGTCTCTCTCCTTGACCAAATTTTATGAGGCTCTTCTGAATCCTCTTTCCCATTCTCACTCTTGTACTTGCATGTCCTTTGCATTACCCATTTTTTTGTTGTTGCTATTTTGTTTTTTGGTACCATGGGTCAAACTCAGGACCTTGAGCTTGCAAGGCAGGTAGGGTGCAACTAGCTAAATCCCTGGCCCTACAATGCACAGTTTTAACAAGACACGTGTCATGTTGATTTAACTAGAATTCCCCAGCTTGTTTTCAGCAAGAACACTATTGGGTTATTTTACCTAGAAGATCCCCTTACTAAATACTGATGTTTCCTCCTAGTAAATCTCATCCACACCTACCCCTCTCACCCTCCACCCTCCCTTCTTAGCTATACATTTTCCCTTTCTCTTGTATTAGATGTTGTGCCTTCTCTCTGTCCCCTACTCAAAAGCCCGTTGCAGTGGGTTCAATGATATGGCACCCCCAAATTATGTCAGTATTACTGAGCTTTGGCAAATGACATTGAAAATTATTTTTCTTTAACTGAGGAGGAGGGGGTGAAAGGAGGGCAGGGACAAGAGGAAAAAATGAGAACCAAGACCTGTCATGTAAGTGTACAAGATCCCAATGATGAATGTAACTGTACTGTATACCTAAAATGTACCAATAAACTCAATTAAAACTAAAAAACAAACAAACAAAAAACATTACCTTTATATATAGAAGCATTGTCTCAGTAAAACCCCTTTTCCCCACCTTCTTGTCCTGTGTCTACACATGGAGAGCCACATTGGAGATGGACGATTAAGATAATAACTTATTAAGACAGCACAGAAAAGTGGTATGAATAAGAAAATGGGAAATTAAAGGTGAAATTGTTAAAGTGTTACCTTCAAAGGGGCCAAAACAGTTCTTCAGGTTCTTGTGTACAATAAGAGAATTGCCAAGTATACACCTTGTAGTAAGCAGTAAGTAGGTATGTTTATTGAAGGTCATAGGAACCAGCAGAAGACCAGCAAAAACAGGCAGAAGGGCAAAAGGGCGAAAAGGGCAAAAGGAGGAGGAGGAAGGAAGAGGAGGAGCACTTAATAAGCTTCAATACATTCAGCTTCCAGTATTTAAAGGGCCAGACCCCCTCTAACTCCAGGTGCCTCTCATTGTGGTCAGACGCCTCTGTTTCCAGGTGCTTCTCATTCCCTCTCACTAGTGTCAGAACTAGTGGTCTGCTGCCTTGAGCATCTCCACCTTCTGAGCTTCAACATGGACAATCACCAGAAATATGTCCTGCCTACAGCTGAATGAAAGTAGTGGCTCCTTCAATTTCCCTGTTTCTGACTATATCAAAAGCACTGTAATTTACCAATACAGATGGAGTTGTGAATAGAGAATACGGTACGATCACGGAAATCAACAGAGAGAAGTTCAGGTGAAGGGTGTGAAATGATACAAAGAAGTCAAATTACAAAAGGATTGAAAAAGATCTATTAAACAAAGAAACAAGGAGACCTCACTGCAATCTATTAAATATTTTGAGATTTTTAATATCTTAGAAGATAAAGACTGATGATAAACTGAATGTGGTGGCACACATTTGTAATCCCAGAACTCTGGGAAGCTGAGGCAGGAGGATAGCAAGTTTGAGTCTACGCTGGGCAATTTAGAGACTTGGTGAGTCACTGCCTCAAAATAAAAACATACAGTGGACCCTCAAGTTACGACTGGCCTGACAGTTGATCAATTTAGTTAATTAGGTTAATGGACGAGTCATCTGCCTCTAGTTACCTATTGCGTGTACCCACGTAAATATCAAGATCTCAGCTGTATTGACTTAGTTACAACCAGCCATCAGGAACCAATTAAGTTCATAAGTCAAGGGTCCACTGTACTACAATTTTCTTAAAAGCATTATGTATATATGTAAATTGAGGATCAATGTACTTGGAAATAATGGAAATAAGCTGCTTTCTTATCTGGTTATCTTATTTACTTAAATCTTCATTTTTAGGAAAAATGAATTATTTTAGCACTCCATGAAACAAAAAAAATTCTATTATTAACATTCATTTTATTTACATTATTTTCATGAACAACATTTTCTTCAACAACGTTCTCTTATCCGCTCCCCCCTCATGGGAATAGTAAATTGGCAAGTGTTATGAAATATAAACTCATCTAGCACTAAAATGAAGAATAACATTTAGTGTTACTTCATGTTTATGGATTTACACCTTTAAAAAATTTAATGATTCTATTTTGTAGCTTTCTGAAATACTGTTGAACTAGAACTCAGAAAAAGTCTGGTCTGATTAGTGTCATAAGGCAATTCAAACCAGAAATAACTGCAAATATGTTTAAATAAGAAGTATTTTAATGAGTACAAAGTATGGATTAAAGAATAGAGAAAATACAGATTAAAAAAGCATTGTTTGTATAAAAATGCAGAAATTTACTGTGTAATAATTCATTAATATTAAACTCAGTTATGCATCCTTTATTGTACTGCACAATTATCATAACCATTTACAATTATTGGTACTTTAAATAACTGAGATAAATACTGTCACTATGTAGACTTCATTACTTGAATATTCAAGAAACTTTTTTTGCAGTTGTAAAATTTTATATTTTTATTTATTGTTTTAATTTTTCTTTTCCTGAGTTTTAGATTCTGAAAAGAATATTATTTCACTATAACTTGGAACCATATAGCTAAATATGTAAATTATGTACATTTTTAAAAACAAGGCCAAAATGTATCTTTTACTTTGATTTATAGTACATTTATTGATATTTGGACACTACATTTCTTTTCTTTATATAGTTTTTGGTATTATCGTTTCCTATATCATTACATTTTTTCTTTATTTTCTATATCATTACCCTTAACACAAGGTGATTCTCGCTTTTTATGGCTGAAATAAGGACATATGAAACCTTAAATCTTACTGTAATACGCATTAAGATTTATGAACATTAAACACAAAACCAGGTAAGATTCAAGAGCTAATCAAAAGCTCTTCTGTTGATTGCAACTTACCAGGGGCTCTTCAGGTAGGAGACAGTGCACGAGCTGCATGGCTTGGGGTTATTTACACCTCCATAGTAGCACTCGGGATACTGGAAGGTGCAGTAAGAACAACAGATTCAAGTGGAGGGTGACTAGAGTAAAACACAGCATTTGCTTACAAACAACATTTAATGGGTTCATCCAGGCAGACATTGAATAATTTAACGTAATATTAGTGGGGTGGGGGAGGGAATATCTGTAATGTTGGCAAAACTTTCAAAATCAAACAAAAATTTAAAAATGAATATTTAAAAACTTTATGAACATCTGAGTACTTCAGTAAGCGCTCTATAATTGGCAGAACAGCATTCCTTGGATCAGGAAATAAGGGAATTAGGATCATGTGTGACCGAGCTCAAGGTAATTTATTAATAGCCTCAGGGAGAGAGCGACACTGCCTTTAACCTTACATTTTCCTCGACTGCAAATTCTATTTTATCTTCTAGCTGTGAAATTTTAAGTCGCGACATGATGCTGAGAAAAAGCAAATTTGTAATAGAAGAGGTTTTTAGAGTCCAGTGCTGTGGAATAAAAGGCAGTCATCTGAAAAAGACATTCATAATACTTCCTCTAATTCTCAATGGTCCTGGAAAGAGGTTCCACCTAGAAGTTATTTTTGCAATCAGCACAATTTCTCTATTTGAAATGTAATACATAATTATTTTGCTTACTGAAAAACAATGACATATGCTAATGAGCATGTCACATTCTCAAACTGCGTTAAGTGGATTTTCAAATAACCAGGCACGGAGTACACTGGTGGGCCTCTATCTGGCCGGATCTTTGTGCACGGAAGCATCGCAGAACGATCCCTTTTCCTCCTTTCCTCTTTGCGAAGACAAGCAGACCAGACAAGTTCATGTGATGTGAGTGACGTCAGCTTCCACTGGGTCGCGTGACCGTCACCCAACCTTCTCGCTCCCCCTCCTCCGGGAGGGAAATCTCGCGAGAAGGAGGCTTACTATCAGAACTTCCCGGGGTTCGGAGGAGTTACTCCACGGAGCAGGAAGGTGTGGCATTCTGGCTGAGTGCTCGCTGGTCTGATGTAGACTGGAGCCAAACAGAGGCCTTGTGGGGATGGCCAGGGTCTGAGCAGCGCCGCCAGAACGCAGCAGAGGAGGTGGCCTGCGGTTGGCAGGCAAAGCTGAAGTGAAACGTGGCGCACGCCGCCCTCACCCCTTCGCCCAGGGTCGCTGGTCTCCCGTGTCCGCCCTCGGTGGCGACCCAGCCTGGGCCTCACGTGTGGCGCGCTGTCCTGCCCCTACTGCCAGGGCTCGCGCTGAACACGCTCCGCGGGTGTAGACGCTCCACTCACTCGGGTCTCCAGGCGCCCCCCCGCACTCTCCTCCCACCGGGTGTCCCCGTGGACCGCGTGCGCCAGGAGAGACCGGCGAGGAAGGAAGGCGGCCAGAGTCGCTAGGGGGAGGTGGGGGGCCGCCGGGAGGGGACTTCGGGGACGGGCCGAGGGAGGGGCGAGGCGCAGAGGCGGTGCCGGGGGTGGAGACTGAACAGCTCGGCAGTCGGGGCTCAGCACTCCAGCCTTTGCCGCGTCCCCAGCCCGCGGGCTCTTGGACGGCGGAGTCCCCTAGCCGATCCTGCGACAGCTGCCTCGAGCTGGGGCTGTGCGCCCCGGCTCCTCTCGCTCCGCCGCGGATCGTTTTGCCACCACGCGACCAGCACCCAGCCGTGTCTCCTCCCGGCCCACTTTTCTCTTCCGGAAGACTTTGCCTCTGACATTTGGGTAGAGGGGCTGGAAAGGAGGCACAGAGACCGCCCCGAGACCTAGGAGGCGA